ACTAATGGCTGCACAGCAGAGATTCCAGCCACTTGCTAAGCTCAGTCCTGATTCCAAATTGAAATAGAGAGAAACCCCATGCAACCACAGCTGGGAATATGGCTTTAGGACTAAATTAAATCATCTTAAGCCGTCCAACTTTGTGGAGACCCAAGTTTGATCCATACCATGTCATGTGGACAAAAAAGGCGTCCGGCGGCACATTTTTGATCATATCATAGGGTGCACTCCAAAGGCACCTTTGGCCCGAAATTGAAATATGTTCAAATCATTTCAAATCACAATAGCGAACCTGCAAAAAAAGGGAGGCGAAGCAGGTGACTGGAGATGTGTTCCCAAAAAAAAACATTATGTCAGACACATGCAGATATGTCCAGTATTTCTTGCACCAAGACAACCTGCAAAGGTGCTCGTTGTACAGGTATATGGATAGTTTTTTGCACTGGGGAGATCTTGCTGACAAGGACAACTGATTAGAGGTGCCCAGCATGTTGTGATAAGCTCAACAGTCACAGCTATGGTGTTTACAGTGTTCATCAAGTGTCCCATGTTTTCTAATGAACAATGCGACAAAGCTCCTTACAGGCCAGTAGGCGCTGCTTGGCAGCCCCATAGCCATGCTTCTCATTCCCTGAACCTTTTTGATGATGGCTTCACTGTTTCACTTGTTCAATGTATCTTCATTCCCAACAAAAACTGAAAGACACCAAAGAACTATTCCCGGTGCCAGGCCTTGCGTTTCATGCCTTGGGCGGAGCGAAGGTGCAAACAACATCTGGGGCTCAAGATGATTCAACCCCAAAACTCGGTATGTACAGAAGAAACATCTTAGCGAACAAATGCCTACTCGTGTACGTGCCCATCGGTGACCTTTAGGCCGCCATGTATTGCTGAAGATAGTCAAACGCCAAAAACAACATAACTGTTCTGTCCGTGCTTAAATCTGATAATCTGATTTGTTCTTGAAGGCGATAGAAATTGAATGGGTGGCATGGCGTTTCAACCAAAAGAATTCCATGTTGGGCACCGAATGAATTCTTCAGATTCAATCAAATTCGTGGTTCACCTGTGCTCAATTGTTGGCCGGTGGCTTGTGATGATGATTTGGCAATGGGTTTAGGCTTCGTTATTCATGTATCCAAAGTCGGATGCGTAAACATCCCTGGTACCGACTCACACTATCCCTACGCCTTTCATGTTTTCATTCCCACCGGTGCCAGCAGTTTCACCATGTTTCATCCATGGACACTCCCACCTACTATGCCATTGGGCCACTGCATTGAGCCTCACCCGTGCAGCCAAGAGGCTTTTCCCATCAGCAGGTTCACTATTTCTGTATGGTCCTCCTCTCTTGCGAGATCCAAGGGCGTTTCGCCTGCGAACCACTGCTGACATTCGAACTGACCCTTTCCATCCCTTTCCAATATACTATAACTTCAATTGATCGCTGTACGGGCTGCAGAATTTGACAAGTGGTGTTTAAAACGTGCGGAAACCTCTGTTTCATTCTTCACATTCGCTCCACGTGGATGTCAAAGACATGGATGAACTCTAAACCCTCATGTTTTAAAATGTTTCAAACAAGAAGTGTGCTACGTTGATCGTGACAGAGACACGCCCCAAAATCACGGCTCTTGAATTTCAAGGGAACTTAGTTGAAAGAACCTGAAATTTCAAATTTTAAGTCATCAAAAATGCCACATTGAACTGCAACTATGTGTTGATATTGCCGGTGAAAAACTGTTTTCAAAACGGTTGTGACATCGGCTGAGGCCCCCGGCCGTCGTTGTTCTTGACGTCCACCGAGGCCTTCGCCGCCAACAGCAGCTTGGCGCTCTCCACGCGGCCGCGGAGTGCTGCAAGATGCAGCGGGGTCCAACCTCAGCACCGCGGAGGTCGGAGGCACCACCCGCGGCGGCTCCCGGCGGCTTCTGAGCTCCCGGGCCGGTGCTGTCCCGGACCTCCACGGCCGCGCCCTTCGCCAGGAGAAAGGCGACGACCGCCGGGCGATCGGTCCCTGCTGCCAGGTGCAGCGCGGCCACGCGGCCGACCCCCGTGAACTCGGAGAGTTGGTCGAGGCAGCGCCGGTCGCGGCGCAGGTGGCCCCGCACCGCCGCCAGGTCGCCGTCGCGCGCCGCCACGGCGATGTTGTCGTCTCGGCACGGGGAGAAATGAAGCAGAAATGAAGTTCCTCAGTTCCTTAGATCTTTATGTTCTATCTTCTCTAAGTCCAAGTCTCCTACTTATGGAAATTATATGGAAATTATGAGTTAGAAACTAGACTTATTGAACTTTTGAGTTCATGATGTTCATGTTGTGGAACTTGAAGTGCAACTTCAAATTACTTTCAGATCTTCTACCTGAGGTAGCATCAAGTTCTATCTTTAGTCAGGAAGGACTGAGGCCCAGACATTCCGCCGCTGCCGCTTCGTCGGCTTCGACTTGTTCTGGATCTTCCGAATCTTCCGAATCTTCCTGGTGTCACAGCTCCCGAAATTGTGTGCACACTGTGGATGTTGCCATGAAAAACTTCAGGGAACTCGATAACAACTCATGTCTCCACTACCAAGACGTGAGGCGAAGAAATTGAAAATATCGTCGGCCATTTGCCATGCATGACGTTGATATATGTTCATGACTGTTGACACTGTGGCAAACCCAAGACCATAAACCCACCATTTGAGGATGGATTATACCACCCATTCAGGGTTTTGCTATTGGGTTGAACGCATTGCAATCCACTGAGCCAACATCACCAGCCCGTCTTCAACGACAACATTATTCTGGAAACGCTAGGGCTACACAGCGCGTGGAGATCCATCAGACAGCAACGAAAATGTGACGATGAAAGGTTGGGAGTTGACATTTGACAGTTGAGATTCTGCGAGATGTTGCATTTACTAAGTATATTAGTAAATTTGACTATAGCAAAATCAAAGTTAAGGATTTAGACCGTGGAAAACGGAGATTCTGCCATCAAAAGTTGGATTATTACCACTACGGTTGTTGCAGCATGTTGCAGCCTTGTTTACCATCCAAAATCCAGGTTCAACATCGAACACGAGAGAAACCACACATGAAATGGTGATAAGACATGATAAAACCCATGGAAACAACCAAGCCTAGGCGATTAACCAAGAATAATCGGATACTCGGACAGTCGGACAGATTCGAAAGTAAACCTTTGGTGAATGCTTAATTGCATACCCTCTGGGAATCATTCCCTGGGATTCTAAACTGGCTGGCTGGGAAGTTCCAATGTTTCAAGGGAAAATGTTGGAAACTCATCTGAAAATGAATGACACTCACCCCACCAAATTTTCTGGGACCAGATAATCAACAAATACACCAGATTCGTCGGGGGGGTGTTTGATTCATGCGCATGTCTTCCTAACTACGTGCTGGGATGATTCCCTGAAGCTCGGAGAAAAATGGTTAGTAAGTGGTTGAGAAGCCACGATCACATTTTATACAGGGGAAATAATTGCAATTATATATTTGATTCATATATATATATATATACCTAGTGCCGCTTTGACCTGCAGAAATAGGTCAGACCCGAGTTTCAAAAAAAGTACGGCCCCTTCCAAAAAGTACGGCCCTTTTGGAAAATCACCATTTTTGGGATTTTAATAAAACTCATTGATGTCAAATAGTCCAAGCCGCTTATGTGCATATCCCACTGCCATCCACACAACATGAGGGAAGATTGGATTAAATTTGAAGATGATACACTAGTGATCCACCATGAACACCCCACTACCCACCTTGGGTTGAAGTCGCGCGTCCTGTTTTGGCCTGGACCCCTCCTGCTCAAACCAATCCTCTTCAGCATGCCCAAGCAGCCCTTAAGCAACCCTAGGGATACATTCTAACGTGTCGAAAAACATTTGGGTGCCAATGTTATGATAAATCATAACTCCCCAGGTGTACCAGATAAGGAGCAGGGCCGCCAGAAACTTTTCATTAAACAACTTGGTTTTGCCTCAAATGGCAAACAAACCACGCTGATCTGCATCAGCTCTCTTGAGAAATTGCATCACTGAAATTAAAGACCGTTGGCAAACTCTTAAATGAATTTGACGGGGGCTCACTCGTCGGCTTAGCCGGCTTGGCCTGCCTATCCGGTCCTCTTGAAGCTGAACGCTTTCAGCTAGTGGATTGATGGTCCAAATTGTCCCATCTTCCTCAGCCCTTTGGGCTTCACGAATCAACCTCAAGGCCCCATGGTGGAGCATAAGTAGTTTTGGAATGACAGCAAATCTGTTCAACCCACGGCTGTAAACAATTGAAGTTGCAAGGGTGTACTGTTGCAGAAACAAGAGCCAGTGCTTCCCAATCTTCATGGCCCTTGACGATCGAATAAAAAATCCTTCATGATACATAGCAGCAATGGCTGTGTTGATCGAAGTAGTTCCAACAACCTAGGCTTGGCTAACAATGGGACCCGTTTGAATCCACCAACAAAACCTTACCCACAACAAGCTTACCCAACAGAAAAAATCACAGCAACCAAAACCATCCGATGTTTGAAAACAAGAAGGAAAAACATAGTTGTATGTTTAAACACGTGCCAGGGACAATGGCACGCAATAAAGGGTCCCCCTGCATTTCGGCTGACCAGGATTTGCAAAGATCCTCCAAGAACATCATATAATGCGTGCTTTGAGACCCCTTGTTCCATGCCCCTAAAGGGCAAGATCCTGCTTGATACCAGTTGAGCGTGTCACGACCAAGTTCTTCACAATGAGGGCTGATCCTTTTGCGTTGGCAAAAACTCTTATACTCTTGATTCAACCAAGCAAATTTTGCATCCATTGAAGTCATTGGTAAATCAAGATTCTCCAACATCGACACCAGGGAGCTAGCCACCCAGTGCTTAGCCAGACCCAGGTGCAGATTGTGCCATACATCCGTCTTGAAGAATTGCCAGTGATCATCAACATGTAGTGGAACACCCTCCAAAATAGGAGGTGTCTGGTCCCAAGCATCACACTGACCTAATGTGCCTTCCCAAAGCGGTTTTCCTGATGTGTCCTCAAACGGAATGGCCCCCAAACCCAAACGGGGATTCGATTCTTGACCAGCACAACACATCCAGCAAATTCCTTCACATGGTTTTTTTGACGAAGCAGCTTTGGGAACATTGCCAAATGTATGCTTCATGTTCCCCAAGCGAGCAAGTGCTGGAAGATCAGCTTTAGTCCCGATGTGGCAGCAATGGACCCGAAACGAACCATCACTACTCCAAACCCCATTCACAAGCAAATCCTCCATGTCTTGTGCATAGACGCGGACCAAATTGTCCAAAGCCTGAGGTTCCTTTTTGTAAAGCTTCCGCAGCATGCTCGCAAACAAAAAATTGGTGCTCCAAGTGTGGCCACAGAAATTCAACCCAAGGCCGCATCGCTTCAAAGGAACTTTGTCCTTTTGTTTTTTCAAGTAAGCTCGCGTTCCTCTACCCAAAGCACCATGAGTGCTTAGCAGCCATAGAGGTTGTTTCTTCAGGGATCTGCCCTCATCAGAGTGGCTGTAAACAGGTATGGTATGTCTCAGATCGACAGTGCCAGCATCCCGCATAGCAAAAATTTCGTGGGTGGGGTGAATGCTTTCATAGCGCCTCCAAAATTCTTCTAGCTTCACCTCCATGCTTAGCAAATTTTCACAAGCACATAGCTGCCGAGGGAGACGCCCTGTATCCAACAAATATTTCACCCAAGTCGAAAATTTGATGTATGGAAAACTTTTGAAACGTTTGGCATCCATGAGGTCAACAGTGTCTATCTTGATAGGAGCCGTGAGGCCATGCTTCTCCAAAACCACATGGGCCCTTTGTTCAGCATCGCGTTCCCTAATGGAAGCAAACTCCTGCATTGCCCTAGTGGCATGCGGGTTTTCTTGCACCTCTGCAGCTGCCAGACCAACCACGTGGGCCATAGGCTCCTCAGCGTACCAAGGCAATGAGGTCAAGGAACATGTGGGATGCGGAGACATCCCAGGGGTCAGTTGGGGCAAGAGAAGTAAAGTGAGTGAAGGTTTGCAATTGCGCATGCTTAAACATAAAGCTGTGATGTGATACATGCCTCAAACTGAGACAAAAGCCGCTCTAACACCTTTTTCACTTCAAAGCACCCCGAAGCTTTTGAGGTTTGGCTATGATTGTTGCAATGGCCACTTAACCAATCCTTCTTGGTTGGTCGGCCCTGCCACCCGTCACATATAAAAAGAATGGCCCTGTAGGAGGGGTAGCCCTATTTAGAGCCCCTTCTCCCCCAGATTCATGTTGGTTCCTGCACCCAACATGACAGCTAAAATGGGATATGCACGCAGCTTCCAGCATATGAATTGAATCGACACTATGGGACTTTGAAACCACCCACATGGTATCAAATCCCATCTTCAAATAAGACACAAATCTTTGGGGGGGGTTGAAGTAACACCAATTTTAGAAACACAAACCCTCACCCCTTTGCTCTCTCTGAACGCTGTGATTTGAGCTTTGGCATGTGCCAGAATTTTACCACACGTAAGAGATTTCTTAGGCGATGACCTCAGACAATGGTTGTGTAGGCCATACGGACGAACCGCTTCCCACTCAAACTGTTCAGATTCAAAGATTTCACCCGAAGCAGTGAGGGCGACAATCATCGTATCCTCAGGCAAAGATGTGTGAGCTGCAATTTCCATGGGTATTGGAGGACACACAAAGATGCAAATGGCAAATGCACCTACATGGAAACCCCAATGACCTCCATGGGTTAAGTGATAAGCCCCTTAACTTTTATTTAAAGTCATGGGTTAACACCATCAAATAAAATGTTTAGAGGTCATTGAGGCCCCAAGTAGATGCATGGATCATAACACCTTTCCATGGCCTACTTGCATGCCATGGCACTACTTCCCTTTTTGGTTCTTGAGGACAGGGAGACAAACCGCATGGTGGCCGGGGATCGCATCTAGTAAAGTACTCCATGTCAATGTCAGGGACCCCAACCCACATGGAAACATTCGTTTGCTCATTTACAGCGCCTTCCTGCCTAAGAAAGACAAAAGCATTCAAATTTATCAAATGGCATTGCAGTCTCCAAGTTTCAACCTTTTAACATCGCTATATCAGTCCCAAAATGAAACATGAAATAAGGCACTTGGGAGTTTTGAGGCATGGCCCAGTAGGCTCCAAGAAGCATGATGCCCGCTTTCCAGATGTGTGCTGAAGCAGCTCGTCAAACCACTCATCCATGGCTAGCGTTTGGCTAGTAAAGTGTCTCTGCTTTGCTAGGCACCTCCAAAAAATAAAATGCCTTAATATGCCCTCTTGGCTTTATACATTGCACATAGGCTCTTGCCTTCAACAGCTATTTTGTTCCATTAAGTTTACATGGATAGCCACTACAACATTCATTCCTAAGAAAAAATGATGGCTTGACTCGATGGTCCCATTTTAATTGTAAGCCAGACCCATGGCTGAGGGAACACGCATGAAGTTGGCCTTCCCAAGCCTGGCGCAGGAATGCTGACTGGGGCATGGGCCCCACGGGCTGCGAAGTTCGCAAGGTGCTGGAGGACACGCCCTGGTTGGTCATCACGGCGACCACCTGGCATGATGGGCAGGGTCTGCAAAAAATATATATAGTATCTGAGGATCTATGGGGCTACCAGTTGGATATTGGATATGCTGGGGTGTTAGAATATATAGTTGTAATTTGGTTCTTGACATCCACATAGCTGCAAGTATGTTTTTTCAGCAACATGTTCGCGGTTGAATCTCGTGGTATCCATCGGAAATGGCATCCATGTTGGATCCATCAGAGCACGTGCTATGCACGTGATAGCTACAATAGCTAAACCCCAAGAGTGAACAGAAATTGGGTCAAATCAACCCCATAAACTTTTCGACATGCCTTGACATTGAAGGCAATCCCACAACTCAAACAATTTCACATGGGATCCTACAGCTCGGCAACAGTCCCTGGCGTTGCTAGGCTGCCCGTCCCATGACTGCGCCCTTCCAGGATCACTTCCACAACATTTTCAGAACATTCCTGAGCGAGAAGGAGAGGTTAAGGGGACACAGTGTTGTTTTGAGGATGGAGATGTTTTGAACCCAGCACATTGCCCAATGTAAGGAGAGTGGCTTTGAAATTGATTTATATAAATAAAATCTAAGACATGCATCATAAATTATAAAAAAAAAATATTGTTCTATAATTTTGTGGTCCCAATTGAAGCCAAATATCTTAGCCGTTGCCTCAGCAGTGACCACTTTGGCACATGCACGCTGAGACTTCTTGATCTGTTCCTCCACTTTGCAAATCAACCTCAAACAAGAGACTTGTGAAGAAACAGAACGTTGCAAACTTATAGATTGGAGTTCCCAACCCCAGCATGATCATAATATATCATAATATCTCCAAACATGTTTTGATTTGTTTTATGCATCATCAGAGGGTATGACAACAAACAAACCAAAACAGAACAGTGGCCGAACCTGTTGGTTTTGGTTTGAACAGACATATGGAAACCCAACCAAATTTGTAGGCAGGAAACGCCTTTGCAGCCAGCTCAGAAAGTTTTCCATTCTGAAGCCCGCTAACTTCAGCCTTGGTCTGCTCCACTGCCTCAAACTCCGTCTCCAGGATCTGCATTGCGTGCTCCAAGTTCTGCTGGGACCTGAGCAAATGGTGAGGGAGACGAGAATGGGCAGGGTTGAGGATGTGGTCACCCTGAAATTCAAATAGGCAGTTGATAGCAATAAACATCAAATCTGAGTGAAACACTTGGTAACTCGGTCTTGGTGTGGGCTAGTCTCATCAGATGCAGCCATGGCTTCATCCAGTTGGCCCGACAAATCACTGAGCTTCTTGTTCTTGGAAAGCAAGGAGTCTCCAAACTTTTTGAGGGCAATATGCTCCTGATGGGCCATAAGTTGTTTTTTAGAAGAGTGGACTCATAGCCCCATAAGATTGTTTCTAAATATCATATTGAATTCAATTTGAACATACATAGTACATGTAAAACATGGTATGCATATATAACCCCAAACCGCAATTTAGAATATTCACTCCTGAACCCCCGTGACTGGCTCGGCATCATTTGGCTCATCATCATCATCATCGCTCTCATCTCGATGCTTTGGTGCCAAATCCTCCCGTGTCCTTTTGGGCTTAAGGCTCTTGAACTTCACTGGGTTTTTCACATCCTGACAGACGGGAAGAAACAATGAAATAACAGAGGGATACCACAAGGAAAGGGATTAACCCAAACTATATAGATGGAAACATCAAAACTACGAGACACTCAAGACCCCATAAGTAAAGATCAATACTGGAAGATAGGCACTGTAGGGGAATCCTTCCCAAACATGAAACATGTTTTCCGGCCTTGCACGACACCTTGACTTCTCTTTCCAAGTCCTCACTCACTTCATCGTCATCTTCATCAACATCCACATGGTACTTGCTGATGCTGCGGTTGTACTTGTCTTTCCTAAGTCCACGCAGTATGGGAAAATACGCAGGTAACAGGCTGTAGTTGAGATACAGTACCAACACTAGTTGCTACATGTGCGACCTTTCTTTAGGCATATTTTGACATGCCATATGCATAATATTAGTGCGCTGCACATGCTTTGCAAGAGAATAGGCTGAAATGATGGCCGACTCAATATGTCCAAGAAACCGGATGAGGCTCTCGTTCCCTTTCTTTTCACAGTACTTGACGACATCGTCGATGTACTTCCTAGGGAAGCAAGACAGGACAGAACGGGCAGGGTTAAACAAATGGTGGCTGCATGTATGCTGGGTAACGTAGACAGGACCATATTTTTGCAGGAATGGGGGAATGTATTGATGTAGTGACCATGGCATGGCACCATGTTTCAAAAAGCAATCAAGGTACTTCGACCAACCCAGCTTTGTTCGCATCTTCTCTTTTGTGTACCGTCCTCGCTTCTTTGTGCGTGTAACCTTTGAAAGCTTTTCCCTTTGCCTTGTCAGTGTGGTGACAAACTTGTCCTGCCGAGTCTCAAAAAAAGAGAACATGTCATGTCCCATGAATGGTTTGTGCTACCAACCTCGAAAGAAAGGAAATCCAAGTGTTTGCCTACAAGCCTGACCAAGATCAGCTGATGGTTCACATGTGTTTCTCATATGTTCTTTTCTAAGTGGGACCAACTCTTGAACCTGGCTCGTACATCAAATACTTGCTATGTTTGTATCTTTGTTTGGTGCATCTGATCATCAAAAGATGCTATATGTAAATTTATGCGTGAATATATGCATGCCGCATTATATATATAAAGCACACATCATTGCTCTCTAAAGCAGGTCTTCCCCGGAGAGTTTTCCCGTCCTTGTCCCACCCACAGCTCTCAAGCTCATCACGCAATGCCATCCTTTCAGCACCACCTTTCTTCCAGCGCAAGTGCACATCCTCCGGAACATGACAACGTCCTGAGGGTTTGATTTCACACAGGCGTCTCAGCCTATTGTTTTTGGCTGCCTCTGAGCCAGGCTCATCCTCCTCAGACTCACCCCCAAACCCAGCACCAACATCGGTCTGAGGATACTCTGTATCTTCCTCATTGTCTTCCTCTTCCTCATCCACAGACTTCGAGGCGGGAGATGGAGCCCGGACCCGGCGTCCAGGTGGAGTGGCAGTTGGAGGGGACAACTTCTTGGCCTTTTTCTGTTTTGCCAGCTCATCCTTCAACTTTGCCAGTTCAGCCATCAAGTCCGCGTTGGTCTGCAAGTGGGAAGGAAGGAAAAGGACCCAAAGCTTTCCGAGGTAATTATATAAGAGAAACCATTGTCAATTAATATAATCAATGGGATTAAAATGCCAAGGTAGTTTATTGGGCTGCATCCCGATGAAAAGGTTTGAATGGCACATACTTTGTGGATGCCTTTGGGGCAGCACAGTTTTGTAAACTGTTGGGAAACCAATGCATAGTCATAAACATCGCCCACTGGTGTTGATCTGCATGTATCATTTGCACCAACTGTAAAAAAAAGGTTTGAGAACATCGTTTCAACATTTGAACTTTCAGTTTGGGTTTGGTTGCTTGTGCGCCTTCATTTTGTTTCAGCTGTTTAAGAAATTTGATTGCACAAATCATTTTGTGGTGATAACATCAACAGCCCACCATATTGGTATGCCAAGAGTTTCGCATAAATTTGTGGCATATTGTGGGACCTATTTTGTTTTTAAGGGTCACGTGAACATATGATTATTTTTTTTGTTGGGTGATGAACAGATTGAATAAAACCATTGGTCTCACATCAGCCATTCTGGTATACAATGTATAGTATATAACCCTTCAACTTCAATCAAAACTCGACACACCCCTCCCAAAGTGGACCTTGGCGAGTGCTGCAGCTTGATCAGGCTCTTCAACATTCGGTGTCTCAGCAGTCTTGCCGCGAAGGCGCTTGGATGGTGGCTGGGAGGCAGCAGAGGGTTCTTGCGTCCCCTTCACCACGGTATGTGGCACCACCTTACCTTTGGGAGTCTTTTTCTCAATGGTTTTCACTACACCAGTGGGAGCAGACTGAGGGGCCCCCGTAGGTTTCTTGGCCTTTGCTTTGGCTGTGGACCTCGCTTTAGGAACAGCAGGTGTCCGACGACCTGCAGCTAGAAGTTCTTCTTCGGTTGCCTTATCCAAAAGAAGGGGGAAAACCCATGGCCACCCACGTCAATGACAGGTAAATTGATCCAACTTGTATCAAGCATCTATTTCACCGGAATCTGAAATCATTAAATTGGATTCTTGTATTTGAACAACATAACATCAGCAATCGTATTCCTATATGGGACGGTCTCAGAATAGGGGATCCCAAAACCTAATTCTTGTCCATATGTCTACATGATTACTCTTAGGCTAGGCAATTTCCAGTCAAGGTGCTGGCTGGGTCTCTTCTGTTCCATCAGCCTGCAAAAGGACATGAAAAGATCAGGTTTTCAAAAAAAAAACGTTGGTACCCCATCTAGGCCAATGAAGATTAAACATCCTAGAGGTCCCCAGCTCCTGTTCTTGGTGCTTTTCTTTCAAAGCCTTGATCTGGTCTTCATACTCCTGGTATGGAAAAAGTGCCAGTCATGGCAGACCCCCTTCAAATCAAGATAATTCTGGTATGTCAAGAAAGTGCCAACACATGACTGACATAACAAACCACGGTATCCTTAATTTTCTGGGCGAACTCATCAGGCTCATCAGCTTCCCTCTTCACGGACATCAGCTTTTGGTGGCCTTTTTGTAGTTCAGAACAGCTATGGGACTTAGAAGGTAGAGATCGGACTTTCGGTGCCATTGCAGGCCTACTAAAGTCTGGCACCTACACCGACCGGGCCCTGGAACCGATCGGACCTGAAAGGGCTGTGGAAGGAACCTGTGGGCAAATGTAGCCAAATGAACTGGATATGCATTGATGGCCATACTGATCTATCATTGGCATTTCAACCCCACATGAAATGGTGGTAACTTCATCACCCCCAGCCAAGAACATCTCCCTGAAGGAATGAAAGGGTATGAAATGGTATAGTTTGGACATGTTGAATGTACGGGTTTTGTACGTATTTTTTGCGGGTTTTCATACGGGAAAATACGGCCTTTTACGGGAAAGTACGGTACTATGTACGGGTGTACGGGTTGGGTACGTACTTAGTACGTACTTAGTACGTATTCCTGAAATCCATGAGACATCTGGTAAAATGAACATAAATGAACCAAATTACACAACTGATGTTGATAATGAATTTACAATTGGATATCACTCTAGCTATAATCACAATTCTCCCATAGGCTATGACATTGAAGTGGGATTGTTTCCCTAAAGGCTACAGCAATCAGAAGAAACACATTCATTTTGTGACACCATCGCTTGGCCCTGTGCTTGCCACCAGGCTAAGAAGCCCTGAATTTTGAATTTCTACTTTGGCCACCCAAGTAGGTCAGTGGTAAAGCCCACTGGCAATATGTAATTTTGACCATTCTTCATTTTGAATTGGTCAGATAGTGCTAGGGAAAGATGACCGCCATGGTCCTAGATCCAACGCTTCATTTCCCCGTGCATAAGAAAGCACAGAGAACATTTGTCCATCTTCCCACAAATCACCATCCCATGAGAGGCTGTCAAAGAAATCCTGGGTCGCCACCGAAGCCAATTCCAAAGGAATTTCAGGCGGCTCAGAGCGAGACTGGATCAGGTGAGGGTAAAGTCTGACTAGCCGTAGTCCAAAATGAGGAGGATAAGTCCTGGGTTCAAAAGAGACACCATTAAGGGGACGAAATCCATTTATGTCTTTGTATTTTAATACGAATTCAACTTGATACAGTGGAATGGAATTTAAGATAGCCCACACATGAATATTCTAAATCAAAATATGGATGGTATAGTTGGGTGAGGGGTAGCCGCTGTGATGAGATTGATTGCACCCTATCACTACATGGGGGAGGAAAAATACTGGTTCCGATGGGGGATGTTGTTGACAACTACTCTATATACTTTTCCAACCCCAAATTCACTCAGCCCTGTACCCAGTGGAGCGAAGCTTGGAAGTGCCCGAGTATGCCTTACGGCCTTTTCGGTTGACTTTCACGGTGGCACTTTTGACGCCAATCTTGGCAATTTCCTTTCTTTGGGGTTTGGTCAAGGCCCCACGGTCTAATCCACCAATCTTTCTGCAGTTTGCCCAGCAAATATGCCTCTTGGGGGTGCAACCCATGTAATGCCCCATCCACCACCGGCAAACGTAGACCTGGCAGGGCTGGCCAAAGCAGGGATTTTCAGGCACCTAAGATTGTCACTGGTGAGATCATACCGTAGCTTTAGTTTGAGGAACCCAGATCTCACTAAATTCTAGTTGAATTTCCAATGAATTTGTTCATAATGATACGTCCCCAAAGATCCCTTTTGGGGACCTATCCAATCCAGACCATTCCCAATAGCCCAATAATATTTTAATTGCCAATGAAATTATGCATAGCGATAGGTCCCCACAAATACATTTTGGGGACCTATCCAATCAACCCTTTAAAAAAGAATCAAAGTTAGTTTGAAATTGTCATAAAATATCATAAGCATATAAACCTTCAATATTTTCCCAATTTTGTTGACCCTGCTTGTGGATGGAAACATATTTCTTTGCAACAAGACCCGTAGATGAGGTACTTCCCAACTCCATGTGATGAAAACCCCTGAACCAGATTTCTTCATTTTCAACAAAACCAACCTTGGTGAAGTGTCTAAGAATGCTCCGTAAACGTGGATGATACCATGCCAAACTGGAAATTGGCTGCTCCACCAACCATGCAGCTCCGACTGCCTGCAAGGCCATCAGCAACAGAGCCACCCTGAGCGGTCGAGGCGAGAAAGACATGGGCACCCCCAAATAATTAGTGGTGAATTCCCTTAAGTCAATGTACTATATATATGTCATAAGAATGGTATTATAAGTAACATTTGGTTGGAACCGTGCATTAATATTCATATTAACCATGTGCAGTTAATGTCAAAGCATCTATGGACACCCCAACCATAGATCTCCAAGGCTATCACCGATATCTATTGGCACTTTATTTTTGAATCATGGACGTGGGGGGCTCACATGTGTTGGCCCAGCAAATCCAATTGAAGGATCAAATTATATATAATCTGTTTGGGTCAAAATATGTTCTGAACTGGCCGGGTTATTTGATGATTTGGAAAAATAAAATATAGTTCCTGAATTTAAAACCTAGGGTCCGTGTGGCCAGGAGATTTCCAAGCCTCACGTGGGGACGTGATTCATCCCCAAGCGGCGCAAACATAGTCCGGCCGTGGGTTGCAGCATTTATGGACACAAAGCTGCTACACAACAAACCTATTAAACATAGGCTCGAATCGAACTTCATGTTCAGGACAGACAGCAGCGCCAAACTTAGATGAGCAGTCGGAATGCTATGGCTAGTGGGTTCCAACATACCAAGGAAAGAAGGGGTCCCATAATCACAATGAAGTACAACAAAACACCAATGTTTTTCATATCGTTCACATGGTGAAATGAAAGGGGTCTTTGTGAATTAACCATCATTGGGTACCACTATCAAATGACGTATCTGGGTTCATGGAAAAAGGCCCCGAATACAGGTTTCTATATGTTCTCACATCATCACATATTTGATTACAACCCAGCAGAGTCAGCCAATACAATAGCTAATATATACCATTAAAATCATAAAGCATCTTACCTGGGCACCATGGATATATACCAATCCCCACTACAAACATGTCCCGGAAACAGGTGCAGACCATATGCAAAAACTAAGACACAGGAAACCACTGTCGGTGGTCAAGTCCATGTTATTCTGCTTGTTTGGTTCTGGCTCCCCAAACAAAATGTCAAATCTGGCAGTTGCCTTTCCCGACATGGCCATCGAATCGCAAACCCATCCACGTCCAGCGAAAAGTTCCACATAGTCATAAGCCTGGGCTGTGGGAAGCGACGCGTTGAACACCTCACTGATCATAATTGTTGGTGTTGCAACCGGGCCACCCCATCCAGTTGAAAATAGCTAAATATAGGTAGCAAACAATAACATCCTTACATTGCATTTTATGTAAAGAGACAACCCTGTAGCATTGTTGTGTCTAGCGTGGGTACATGTGACTACAGGGCCAAATCGTTATAGAGATTGGGGAAAAGTCCTGGGATATTGGCAATTTGTGGGTCTTTTCCAAAGAATGGGTTGCTACTCTAGATAGACAACAGGAACCACATTGAAAATTAAAGCCGTTGCTATGAGGGAAACTTCCCTTTGGCCTATATACTACCATTTTGTCAAACCTCAAGGTTATCAGAAATATATTTAAATAGGCTGATGTAAAATGGAACTGGAATAAGGCCAAACCCCCCAAGCCTCTAAAAAGACACCGACATTGGAGGAAGTGGCCAAAAGGATCGTCAGGCCCAACAGCACCTGCCCGTATCATGTGGGGAGATGAAAGATCAAATATAGAGGGCTGGGTAACATGGATAACGATAAGGTATTATTTTCTTTGTTTGACATGAATCATTGCTAAGCAAAAAACATGGTTCTACCAACCAACTGGAACCGTGTTTTTTCATATGCATGCACGCATCCAGGTTATATATGCACATATGGGATTATAAGATAAAATTTAGTGGGGATTCTTGAAGAGAACCCATTTCCCAAAACAAATGGGCCTTAGGTGCCCCCAGGAGGTGCATCCGTTTCAGCACCAAGTCCAGCTTGTCACAGGCTCTGCTCGGCATTGCCCCAGTCACACAAGCAGCGCAAACGGCAAGGAGCCCAAATATCTACGTGGGCAGTTAGTCTTGCGGTGGGCACATGCGCATGCGCATGCGTGGGCCAGTGTTAAAAAAATGGTTGATCCAACCCAAAAGTGTAAATGTTCTTTTCTGACAAAAACAATCGTTTCCATCCAGCCCATTCTAACTTCCATGCCTCATGGAGCCAAAAACAATGTGTCGACTTCACCACTTCATGAGTTTAATGGAATTTGAAACAGGCCTGCGATACGTTTTGAACTTGATTGGAAATCATCAGGAAGTAGGCGCCGTTTCCACCCCAATCCACGCACCATGCCTCTCGGCCCAGGGTGGCCTTGGAAGCTCGAAAGATCGGTGGGCAGTGCAAGACCCAAGTGGTACCAGGGTGAGGTTGGAATTTTAAACCCCAAAGTAATGCCTGATCTGGGGATATATCTGCATATGATTCAACTATAGTCCCCATTGGAATGATTATTGTCCATGTCAAATTCTTCAGGGGATGCACGCTTTGATTTGTTATTTCTTTTGATTTTGTGTTGGAATCGATGATGCCTGGCATCACCGCCTGGCACAAGTATAGCCACTACTTTACCATATAGTACACCCAAGATATCCCAAGATCATTTTTGGGGGGTGCCATAAAAAAACGACCGTGTTTGTTTGGTCCTTTTTAGAATGACCATCCCATGTGGTTGGACACAATGTGGGCAAGACCTACCCCTGAAAACCTTTTTGTCCGAATCTTCAGCCAAGAAATGATCCATTGCGCAGCCTACAGTTTTGGCGACAGTGGCCAAGTATCTTTACCCCACACCACACTGCTTCATACCCCCCATGCCCTCATGTAATGGTCCAAGACTTGAAGTTTGTTGTATGAACACATAACCGTGAAAAACACATCTACTGTTTGGAAAACATCTTCAGATTTCTGGGGCCTGGGTGGTAGATTCCCCACACAATGTGGTTAAAGGTCACTGCGACTTGTGCCATTCCTAGGTCGCTTTGCACTGTGTGCACACACACTTCCTAGCCATTACCTTTTGCAAATGATTTTCAATGTTGAAGGGGCCAACCAGTCTAAGGCCATGGGTCAATGATTCAAAAGTTGAAACCAACGTGGTTTCCCATTGGATTGTACGGGGATGCTGCTGGGTGCCAACCATATCCCAAGGGAATGCAAATCACAGAATCATGAAGTTTCAAGAACTTAGATATTGGTTTAGATATGTTCACCAATTTCGATTTCTCGGTCGTAATGAATCAGATAATGAATATCTCTATATGATCAGGAAGTAAGCATCCCAATGGCTGCACACCAGCTACCCGCGACCAGCACTTGAGGTATCACTGGTCCAGCACACCGGTCCTTCGAAGGTTCTCAACATAGGCCTTGGCCCCCGCCTGCGCCTCGGCCAAGATGTTCCCCTCGTGGACGCTCTTGTTCTTCCACTGCTGGTGGCAGAAGGTCCAGAAGTAATCCTGCAAAAGCTGGGATGGGATATGGTTTTAGGCTATAAAGAATAGTGTTGGGTATATGCGGGACCATTGAAATATTTTTGTGACCATATAAATTGCTTTCTAGATAGTGTTTTAAAATCTTAGACAAGTAGAATCCGATATACACAGGAATGAGGATAAACGTTTTCAAGACTTTGTAACTAACATGTTCCTGTGGTGGACCTGTAAAGGTTCATGAAGGCACAGGATAGCTGTGACTTTAATGATGCAAATAACAATTACTATATAGCGATCCTAATATTTGTTTTCGCTATTTGGCATTTTGATGGGGCCCGACAAGGATTCAACTGATGGTGATGGTGATGGTGAAAGCTCCTGAAACTAAAGTATGGTCCCATACCCATAAATTAAAACCCATTGAAGCCACAAACCCACTTAGACAAAAGAAAAACGGTCCTCATGAGCACTGTATGACTCCAACAACGGCTTGACTTTCTGCTCAAAAGCCGACCGCAAAGAATCCCACTTGAGACTGGTGAACTGCCCAGAAGGTCGTCTGCGCTTGGCAAAGCACTTGTAAGCAACTTTCTCCTCCACAGGGCCATCCTTCTCTGGGGTGCAATCAAGGCCATCACCACAAGCTCGCTTGGCACTCTTCTTTGGCTTATCACTGGAGTCAGCAGGGATCTTGCCATCACCATTTTTCTTCTTCACAGTCTTTGCTTTTTTCGGTGGTGGGGCAGGTGGGTTGGACAGGTTCTCTGCAATCTCAGGCCCCATGTCCTCTGCGATCTCAGGCTCCATGTTCTCTGCGATCTCAGGCTCCATGTTTCCCTCCTCCTTTTGGGTCTCCTTGGGCTCGGTCTTTTTTCGACTCTGACTCTTGGCCTTTGCTTTCGCCTTGGCCTTAGCCACTGCCTTCGGCGTGGCCTTGGCCTTGGCCTTGGCCTTGGCCTTTGCCCTCGACTTGGCTTTCGCCTTGGGCTTTCTGGAAGGCTTGGACCCATCCTCCAAAGATCCCTCAGCACTGGCCACCTTCAAGGCAAATTGCGCACGGCGCAAGACCTGGGCAGGCAAGAGCCAAGGATCGACTGAAATATTAAAGAAGCAAGGGTCAGATTTGTCAACAAACAACTATGAGGAATTGATATACACATTGGGTCACATTGGTGGTAAAAGAGCATATCCAAGCAGTTAGTGAATGGCAAGTTGCAGGTGGGGTGCCAGCTTCAAGGTTGGGCTCTTCAGGCATGTCCTGGTTTAATCTCTGCCATGGATTGCATTTCCCCATCTGGCAAAACCAAGGTGTCCAAGCAGTCACCACCAAAGGGGATGCTATCACAAACCATCACAGGGGCTCCCTTTTCTTCAGCTTTCAAAGACTTCAGCGCCATCCTTAGAAATGGAGCATGTCATGCATATTTAAATCTATTGAAGCAGGGAAAATTGTGCAATTACTTGTCGGTCCTCTTTTCAAACAGGAATCCCGAAAAAAAACTTACAGACTTTATCTTCGTAAACCCTTGTCAAGATATGCACTATCGGGGGTGATGGAAGTGATGAACCAATCAAGAAATATTGAAATT